TCTGCCGCGCCGAATAATTCGGTACAATAGATTGTTTTCGACCGAGACGTGTTTACGATGCTACGTCATTTCTTGGAATTCGGGCTCGGGCTTCGGCGCTCGGCAAAACAATACGTCACGCCGTACGCGAAAGATCATTCACGCGGCGACAGTTGAACGAGTCGGTTCGCTGCCCGCGCCGTTCCGCATATCGTATATTATTCTTGATACGACAATTTTAATTTGACATCTATACGTCGGCGATTTCTGTCGATTAGAATTCGTACCGTCGGATAAATTTACAAGAGATACCAAGTGCAAATAGTGACTGTGTGCGATCGTATATTTTTCGCGCCTCCTTCCGTGTCGCGTGTGATTAGTGCTGAGGTGCCCTGGTGAAAATAGAATTTGGAGCGTAAATCGAATGTAAGAGGAGAGTGACAGAAGCGTAAACGAAATGTGTAGGAAACGTAATTTGGAACAGCGAAGCGTAAAAGAAACCTCAAACGTTTCTTTTACGCTTCGCTGTTCCAAATTACGCTTCCTACACATTTCGTTTACGCTTCTGTCACTCTCCCCTTACACATTCGATTTACGCTCCAAATTCTATTTTCACCAGGGTACCTCAGCACTAGAACAGCGAAGCGTAAAAGAAGCGATTGAGGTTTCTTTTCGCCTCGCTGTTCCAAAACTTCCAAATTACGCTTCCTACACATTTCGTTTACGCTTCTGTCACTCTCCCCTTACATTCGATTTACGCACCAAATTCTATTTTCACCAGGGCACCTCAGCACTAGAACAGCGAAGCGTAAAAGAAGCGATTGAGGTTTCTTTTCGCCTCGCTGTTCCAAATTACGCTTCCTACACATTTCGTTTGCGCTTGTGTCACTCTTCTCTTACGTTCGATTTACGCTCCAATTTTTATTTTCATCAGGGTGTTGTGCAAAGTGCCACGAAGTGCCATCAATCATCCCACGGGGTTTGGCCAATCGTGCCGCAAAACGTGAGTGCCCATTTCGTATGAGTCCGATTCCTATTTATATTCGGTAGAAAATGGATTTATTTATCACATATGAGTACGCGCGAATTAAATCGTACAGTTTGTCAGCAAGTTTCGAAGAAAAGGAAATTTAATGAATTTCTGATTCTTTTCGGACGATTGTGTTTTAATTAACCGTTGACTGAGTCAACCGTTGTGTTATATGTATTTGCATCGTTTCGTTTTCTTAGCGTGTCATTATGTATTTTTGGATCGTGGGATCTTTAATCTCCGCTTTTCGTATATATACAAAATTTATTTCATGGCCGCAACTTTGTCTGTCTTGCAACATCGAAGTTTATTACATACGGCAGTGTTTATTATCACCCTAAGTAACGTGAAAGTATTTCTCATATATTATTTTCTTCGCCAGTGATAAATTACAAACAAGTAATATTATTGTCAGCAAGTTTGTCAGCAAGTTTCGAAGAAAAGGAAATTTAATGAATTTCTGATTCTTTTCGGACGATTGTGTTTTAATTAACCGTTGACTGAGTCAACCGTTGTG